CGACCCTTGCTCAATGATTCAACTCTAGAGTGGCCCAATACCGGCAGTTGAGCATCTCCTGTTGCGTATGACATGGCCCCATCTCCACAGCTCCCTACTGCGTCTTCACGCCGAGCCTAGGTGACGCAACAGAGCGCCCAACGATGCCTCAGAAGTAGCCGAGCACACTCTAGCTGCGCCTACTCCACCCGATGGAGACTTCTGGCATTTACATGTCGACGACGCAGAAAAGCCTTCATCACTGCCGGCAGAGAAGGCTCCAAAAAGATGGATCCCATCTAGGAAGGTCCGTACAAGATCAGCAGAGTAGGGGGCAAGAGTAATTACACCCTCACCACCATGAAGCGGCAAAAAGATTGAAAAGAAATGAATGGCCTACAATCTGAAGAAGTACCATGTGTGACCTCCCGCTACATCAAAACCCGAAGACTCAATAAGCTCGACGGGCACCACCTCACAAGCTGAGGACTATCCAGTTGTTATGCAGTTCCTACCTTACAGCTAAAGTTCTCGTTCGTTTCACTCGTTTTTCAATGAGGAATTTAGAAGTAATCACAACTTGGCTTGGCTGCATGCTTACAACAACTAATCACTCATGCACTTCAAAAGAAGACTGCGCCCTTCTTAGGGACTCATCGCAGGAATTGCACCCCCCGAGGGACCAACCATGCTCTCCAGTGCGAGAGGGTAAACCAATTCTCCGACACCCATATGGGTCGGCTCTCCAAGACGGGAGGATAAACTTTACACTCCGAATATCCAGACGTGGATGAGCCTGGCTACCCTAGTATAACTAGATGCACGATGGCTTGCGCCGGGATTCCTAGAAGTAGCCGCAATGGTCTTTTTCAAGGCTTAGCTAACTGAAGGATTTTGGGTCTCTTGGCCTAATCCGTGGGGGAACCGGGCCCTAGAGACGGAGAGGGCACATTACGCAGTACATCCGATGGACGGCTGCCCTGGAATCCTAAAGCTGCTACCGAGTGCACTAAGGTAGCCTACGGATTCCGGAAGACTGCCTACGGCTTGCCCCTTCGAGCAGTGAAGCCGCACTAGACTTATACAACCGCACATTCTTGTGAAAGGTTAAACAAGCTAGCGCGCATATACGAAGTTTTATCCACTGCCGACATGCTACGTAGTCGATAAGCTTCACCTCTGCCAAGCGCGGAACAACCTACACCAAGTCCTAAAGTGTTGTGATACTTGCTACGCAACCTACGGAATTGAAAAAAGTCAAGGTTAACAGCCTAGTGGTTACGCGGACTTGTCTGCTTCTGTAAGTAAGGCATCCGGCTGCCAACCCAATGGCTAACAACTTTGCAAAGTTCTACACCAACACCTACGACTGCATAGGCTACGCGAGCTTGTCTGCTTATAAAAAAGTAGCATGCTTGCCACTGGTCTATCAAGTCTAAAGGTTAGGGCATGAACAAAAGAAGAAAAAATGAAGAAAAACGAAGGAAAACATGTTTATAAACAACTAGCAAAGGCCGAAGGAGTTCAAGCAAAACAAGAGCTACAAGGAAAAACAAAGAAAATCCTAAAGGCTACCTAAAATACTACACTACAGCAGGTTGGACATCCCACGACTACTTGGTCGCCACACCTTCAGTAGCCGTAACGCTCTTAGCAACGGCATCATCCGGTGTTTCACCCCCGGCTGCCCCAGCCTGGGCACTAACTTCTCCAACTACTTCACCAATGGAAGCCTTAAAAGTAAAAGCAAGCAAGTCTTCCGGAGAAATAGAGAAGCTCATCCACTCCCTTTTTAGCATAAGCAGCGAAACGAAGCTCAGAAACTGCAAACTTAAGATCTTGAATCTGAGGCGAATCAATCTCAGCAGCAAAGGGAGTAGGCTTTGGCGCCACTTTAGCAGCAGAGTCCACCTTACCACTCTTCATAATAGCAAGTCTCTACAAAGGTGAACCGGACTTGGCTCCCAACGAACGTCCTAGTACAGACTTCGGCACTGGGGCATGATAAAACCTTTACGTTGAGCAATCTTATCAACAATTGTACTAGCCATTCTCAACATGGAAGACGCCACATGCTCAGATCTAGCAGCCTTATTTTTCTTCCCATTGGAAGAAGTCATGTCAATCACATACCTCTCGGTAGCAGGCGGACCCTCATGAGCAGCGGAAGAAGTCTTCAGTTTTTTCTTAACTGGCATCTCATGAGCAGGCAGGGAAGATTTCTTTTTTCCATCTTCATTCATAGTAAGCTCCACGACAGCGATCAGACAAGCCAATGCATCCGCCTTGATCCTCTTTACCTCTTCTTTCGGGAGCAGCCCACCTTTCTTTCAGCAAAGAGGACTAAGCAGCTAACGACATTCATGGTACTCAGCATGGGAGCTCAACCCAGCATTCCAGCAGGCAGGAGGCCTGCATGCCCAACATTCCAGCAGCCCATGAGACCCGCAATCTCCTCATTTCTCTCAATCGCCAGCCTGGCCCGAGTCAGGTCCAAGAGCCCAAAGGACATGAGCCATGCGGCTCGCCTAGCACTGCGCCCCAGCGCCACAATCCGCGACCCTAGCTGCACAAGCTGCATTTTGGCTCAAGCCAAACCAAGCTGCCCAAGCAGTAGTCCCTGCCACGACATCTCCTCGGCCCATGCCGAGCCAACTCTTGGCCCCTGTCAGCCGACGTGCCGCACCACCCCGACGGCTGCCCTGCAATAGCACTATCCAAGAAGAGGCAAGAAAAATTAAATTTTTTCTTACATTGGTGCGGCACGGAGAAGACGAAGAAATCAACGAAAGACGGTCTTTTGCACGGGCAAGATGTAGAAGATTGCTAGAGGAGGGGGAACAAATATCCTCTAACTTTCTCTCTCTTGTTGGGTAGAATAAATCGCTCTCCAAATTTGATTTAATAACCCACTTAAGGTGGACTTAAATAGGCTTTGAGAGAAATTTATTTCCCTTTCCTAGAAGGATCTAATTTCCTATTAAAGAGAGAATATACATCAAATTAGGAAGCAGTCTTAAGTTTCCTAAAGCAAGAAGATCTCTACACCTGCTGCCCTTTTCTGCGAGCAGCCCAACAGGTGTGGGGCATTTGTGGAGCCAAAAATATTCACTAGGCGATACATGGACTTTTGGACAAAAGAGGACAAAAATACCCTCGAGGTATACCGGGTTTCCTACACGCGAGCAGTGGAGAATCATCCATCAACCAAGTCAGGAGTATCCAAAATGGGTAACAATTCAAAACCTATTTCATTCCATATATGTTTTTACCCCATTTTTTCCTTATTCAATTAACCATTTATTTCAAACATTCCATAACATCCTCAATCAATTAAATTATCAATTAAAAGCCAAAAATCACCCTAAAAGCCGTTGGTCCTTCTCCAAAATGGGGGCCGGCCATTCCCTTTGATTTCCTACCACAATTTGCCTTTTTTTACATTGGTTAGCTAATCTTTCAACCATTATTTGATTGATTAGCTGATCATGCCATGAAAGTCATAAAAACATTCCCTTTATATTGATAATTAACCAATTAATATATTATTCTTAATTAATATATTAATTGCTAAATTAAGCCACCTCCTATCCCTATATATATGCTCCCATTTCCACCAAAAACTCATTCCAATTCTCTTACAAAAAAATCACAAATACTCTAAACACTATTTCTCTCTAAAATTCTAACTTTGGCATCGGAGGTTCTTCGGCCAAAGCCCCCCCATTCATCGTGGGCGCGTGAGGCTTTTGGCCTTAACCTAAGGTGCTAGTTGTTTTGTAGGTGCAAAATCGTCCAAGATCGAGGAGGAGAAAATTTGCATCCACAGTATGCATGGACTGAAAAAGTTATTAAGGTTGTTGAAGAGGTAAGGATTTTCCCTAGTTACGCTCACCATGTCGCTACCAGTGACCATGTTGGAGAAGTACTCAAGAGGATTTACATGATCCCCGATGATCGCTTCACATTATTCTTAACGGGGTTGATGAGGAGGTTTTCAAGCGGGACATTGCCTTGAGAAAGGATTTTAGGAGAAAGTTTGGGGTGCTGGAATCTAAGACTAGTTCTGGGAATGGCTGGGAGGTTGGTGAGGGATGAAGGGCATCCGCTGATGTTCGAAGCGTTGAAGCAAATTCTCAGAGAAAATGATGCGTTTAGGCAAACTGTTGTTGTTCTGGTTGCCGGGAATGGTCCTTGGGGTGCAAGGTACAGAGATCTTGGAATGAATATACTTGTTTTGGGACCACTGGAACAAGCTCAGCTTACTGAGTTCTACAACGCAATTGAGCAATTGATATTTTCGTGAACCCAACTCCTCTCGTCAGGTATTGCATCATACATTGTTGGAAACAATGCTCTCAGGGAAGCCAGTTATGGCAACAAAGCTTGCCAGCATTACAGGCTCTGTCGTTGTTGGCAAAGAACAGTAGCGTCACTAAAGAAGATCCTCTATAGAGTTTGGAGTGATGGCAGAAGAGATTTGAAGCAGAAAGGCCGGGCAGCAAGACAGAGAGGATTGCAGTTGTTCACTGCAAAGAAAATGGTGGCTGCTTACGAAAGGCTTTTCCTCTGCATATCCAATGATGAGAAAATTGGGGAGAACTATTGTCAATTTCAGATTCCATGACAGTAACTTAGCAGATGACTAATACTTATATAGCCCCCGATTGCGGCATCATCTTGTCACCGAAATTTCAGTGTTAGAAACAAAGCTTTTCTAACAAGGAACCGGCATAAGGATAAAAGGCTAGATAGCTGTACCTTATACATTCTGTGTTGAAGTTAAGGAACCGGCATAAGGATAAAAGGCCAGATAGCGGTACCTTATACATTCTGTGTTGAAGTTGTAAGTATCTTTGACAATTTGGATATACAAACTGGCTGATTGGCCAGGAATCTTGTGACAGTTGTTCTCTGCTAAAATTCCATGCATCATCTAAATCTTTCGAACGAACAAGGTTCGAGCTTTGCTTGGCCAGCAACTATGAGCACTTTTAATCTAATGGAAATGCATTACTCTTAACAAACCGTAAACGCATCATAATACAAAACACATTGCATAAGAAACCGTAGTCACTTCAAGCATATATGTTCACAATGAAAGAGCAACGGGCTCATATCATTCGCCCGTGAGTCCTCCACAGGCTTTAATTTAACAGGGTAAACAACTTTCAAACTACACACAGAAACATAGTTCGGCGGAGAGTAGTAAGAACATTACATTTTCGGAAACCATCTTCTTGATAAAAAGTCCAATGGAACAGTTGACCATACCGACATAAAAGCTTGCACTTCCTGTCCAGCGTCTTTAGCAGCCAATGCGCACATCAGCCACTTATTTATATTACACTTCCATACTTAAAACCCCAGGCCTAGTGAATTCCTGCAAAACATAAAATCTTCTTAGATCAGCTCCTTGCGTGATATCTTTACAGTATGCCAGGCTTCATGAATTCGTATAAATTGAAAAGAGTAAAATATATTGTGACTATTTATCTTGTGAAAGGGAGAAAAATCAATGCTAAGAGACGTTCTGATCTGTTAAAGTGTTGAAATAATAAGAGAATTTATTTCGAGAAATTGATCTAAGAGTGAATGAATGTACCTTGAAAATAGATGAAGAATTCATATGGCCAGTGAAGGGGAAGTCCTAATAATAGAGCGAACCTGCAGAAACGCAAGTCAGAAGTTCATACGCTGATCTCCTCTTCAATGTAGCTCTAAATTATTAATACTACTAATTTCATCTCCAATATCAGTACCTTGCCACCAATTTCCTCGGGCGGCACTGTTCGAGTTGGTTCCATTTGGATCATCTTCTCCCGCATCTTTCTTGAACTAATTCAGTCAGAGTAACAAACAGAATCAGTTTTTCATATCCTTTTATCCGTTAATCATGTTGATAGCGTTAATACTACAGTACAAGTCTGTATATTATGTGATCAACTCATCAAGACTCACTATAGGATAGGATCCAGAGGCATGGGTCCTTGGGGACTGGGAATACACCTCTTGCCCACCATAGTAAATAGATGAACTTAGATAACATGGTTCTGCTCTTTCTTCCTGAAGGACTGAACTCCGGTCCTTGTTGGGTACGCTATAGCGTGCACCTTCGCTACTTATAGCTATATAGTTCGAGAAAAAGGCAAAGGCCGAGGCAATAAACTTTAAAAACAAAGATCAATATCTAACATCAAGAGGTTGTAGAGAATTGCAAAAGCAACATACGATAATCTATATACATATACATAAAGAAAGCGTTAAAGGTTAAACATTCAAAAATCCATTAAATGCCCTTTTTGTTAATGAAAATGCTAAAAGAGAAAACACTTCATTATATATGGATATAATATCACATTAACAAACTCTTAAATTGAAAAATGAAAACAAAAATATGTCCAGAAAGTGTCGAAAAGAATTAGGCAGGGAATCTGATGACGATGGAACATAATCGTAGCAGAGATTAAACAGTACAGTTCTAATAACTTAAACTTCTATCAAAGTAGAAATGTTGCCTATCAAACAAGATTTCTTCCAGTTAGGAGTAATACAAGAAATTCTACATTAATTAGGCATAAATGATCCAATAAAGTTCGTTAGTCGGAAACTTTGGACATGGTAGAACAGAAAACAAAGAAACTAAAATCAACATGATACAAACCTGCAGTACCTTGCTTGGTGTTCCGTGCATGATTTCTCAAGGACTGCTGCTGCCAATATTCTGTCAGCTCAGAGATTGAAGAGTTCCTCCCAACCACCTTAAAATTAAATCAGGTAAAAAATGTCAGATACTAGAGCATATATTCAACAGAAGATCTAGTAGTGGCCAAAGACACTTTCAGTGGACGGAACACTAACAAGCAGAGGTGTACAATGGGCCGGACCGGCCTGGATCCTTCAAAAGACCAGCCCGCTTAAGGACGGCCATTTGTACACCTCTATTCACAAGCCCCTCACTTTTCCAACCACTAAGCTAGAGAATAATGCTATACAAAGAGCTATGAGCACTACGAGGAAAAATAGTGCTTTTTTCTTTTGGGTTATCAGCTTTCCCCCTTCTTACAAAAACTAACCAACAAATCCACTAGGAACCCAAATCATGTTTTGCTTAAACAAACCAAAAAAACTTTTTCATTTCCCCTTTTGGTATTTCTCTGCAATATTTCACATTTCCTTTCTAAGCAATTTTCAATTCACTATTATACATAAAGTCCAGAAATTATATAAAAAATTATAACAAGAAGCATATATATGCACCCAATGAATAAAGTTCATCCTCTGCTTTCAATTTTAAATCAACCCTGAATCCTCCTCGGGCTTACGCAAATTAAGTGGAGCAGTGTGCCCTTAGTATTCAAATTTGAATCTCCCTTTCCGTATTGCTCAAGTTAAAAAAAAAAAAAAAACAGAAAGCATAAATATGAACGCAGTAGAAGAATCATAACTACCTGTGATGGAGGTGGGAAAATGGAAGCAAAAATCCCAGTAGAAGACTTGGGAGGAGATTCCTTGGTACCAAAAAGATCAGCAGTCAATGAGGAACCTGAATTGCCCGGCTTCTTATTGTTACTCTCCATTTTTTACTTCCTCTCTTTCTCTAAGTCAACCAGAAGAGCCAACTCCAGAATAAAAAAGCACTTTCCAAAAAAGCAGCTTCCAAGAGAAAAACCCAGTTGAAGAAACAAAGCAGGTAAGATTTGCAGAGGAAGAAAGAAATCAGACAGAAAGTTGAGAGAGAGCACGGGGTGAAGATGATGACACACAGAGTATCCAAAACTCAAAATTTATATAGGCACTTGCTGTATAAAAGATGGTACTGCATGTAGTGCCGCTCATGTGCCATCTTCACCCAAAGAAAAACAAACGCTCTTCTGTTTTCATGCAACCAAAGATTTGTTTCTCCTCATCAAAAAAGATTTGGAACTTGCCCTTCTGTTTTCCTCACTATAATCATCTTTTTTTTTTTTTGGTTGAACACTATAATCATCTTTTCCCCACAAACATAATGGATAGGTGCCACGTGGGCTCCACTCCTTTTGCCAAGTGGATGTACAGTAGTGCCATATTATTTTGAGAGAGATCAAAATTTTAAACCAAATTGCGTGTCACCAATAGGAAATAAGCATGTGAATCAACATTTAACTAATAATTCAATCATCAACAACCATATCATTTGATTTAAAATATAAATCGAATTCAGAACTTTCATACTAACGATGACAATTTCTGTATTGATACTGTGGGGTATCTTCATCTCATCTCTCTCGAGCACTCTAGGCCTGGACTCGACTTTTAATTCCTCTCGCCCATTGGCCCCCATTGTTTGATCATATTCTGTGGGATGTATGAGTTGATGACTTCAAGTGAGGGATAGGAGAAATGAATCTCTGAAAGCTTCTGTTCCCACCAAGTGGATAATCAGATAAGCTTTGCTTTGTCCGATATGCTTCATGGTCCAACATTCTCTTGCTATTGATATCAAGGCACGATTCATGAGTAAACCCACCAGTGTTATGTAGGACCATAGCTCTTGAACATGTAGAAAACTTAGATAAAACTTGTGGTGTTATAAGTGCAAATCGGAGCATATTATGTACTGGAATCTTTGGCAGTTGAATTTGAATCTTCACACTCAATTACGTAAAAACTTTAAAGTAGATGCTCATATATCAGAACAAATTATCCACTTGCTGCGTCCAACCTCCACACAAGCTTCCATCTGACGTTCTTATGAGGATTGGAATCAATACCCTGAGATGTCATGAATAGGAAAAAGGCAGATTGTGTGAACATGGTATTATGAATGTAATTTTGTTTGGATATGGGTTTTGGTTTGAAGTGGGACTTGTTGTACTAAGTGGGATGCTTACGACAAAGTTGGTACAATTATTTGGTTTGAAAGAATATGTATGGGTTTTGGTGATTCATTTTAAAGCTGGATGTGTCACTTTTGCTTACTATATAGGTCAGTTGGATTTCTTCAATAAAAAATTCCCATGCTTTGGTCTTTAGTGTGAAAAATACGTTCGAGTTGTAGTATGAATTTAGTGAGGGAAGAAAGAGGAAGATCGGTCAGAGAGAAGAGAATTGCTTGAGGAATTCTTGAGTGTGATATTCTTTTGTATCTTTATTTATATTAACAAGGGAGAGAGAACCTTGTTTCCTAAGTAATACAAGTTGTACGAGGAAATATCTTCTCAATCTCTTCGTAATGATCCCAAATCAGTTGTTATTGTCTACTTGAAAGATTGGCTTCAGGCAAATATGGTTTCCTCCATAAAGCCCCTTCGAACACACGCTTTTCTTCATTGGGAACCTCCTCTTGAGGGTTGGGCAAAGCTTAATGTTAATGGTGTCGCAAGGGGGTGGCCAATTTCATTGGTGTTGGTGATGTCCTTAGAACGCATTGGGGACATGGGCCTTTAGTTTTTGTGCTAATCTTGGTCGAGGTGAGATTTTAAGTGCTGAAGTTTGAGGTGTTTTTATTGGGTCGCAGCTTGTGTAGACTAATGGAATTAAGAAGATTATAGTTGAATCGGATGCTGCACTTGCCCTACAATTGATTTTAAATGCATAAATAGATAATCACCTTATGAGAAGTTTGGTATTGAATTGTCATGCACTTATGCACCAAGTTGGTCTTGTGAAATTTGACGTATTTACCATGAAAATAATTTTGTTGATGATGATTTGGCTTGTTTGGGTTTGTCATGCAATTTGGGTTCGGTCTTTATTGAGCAAGCTCATCCTTCTTGTCATCGGTCGTGGATATAACTGGAGTTTCGTGGCCTCGTAATATGTTTATAGTTTTTCCTTTTCTTTCAGATTTATGCCCCGTTTTCAACAAAAAAAATAAAGAATAAAGATAATAACAATCTAAAAGTAAATGAGTAAAGTGTAAAAGAAAAGTATTATTTTCACTTTACTTTGAACAGAAAGGGAAGAAATACGAATTATTCTCATTCGAATGTCTACTTGCATTATAAGAATCAAAAGACAGTTGGAATTCACATAGGATTCACATGAAAGAAAAATGTTATTGGTTATTCTTGGTTTTTGAGGAATAAGACTTGGGGAACTTTTTTATTAAAAATAATATAAAATAAGGGTACTTGAGAATGGAAAAAATTTCCACCAGACTTTCTCAGGATCTTGATCGAACCTTCTCATTCTGTATTTTCGGTTCTCTTTTTCGTTATGCAATGTTGCACAATGATTGGAATCGTCTATTTTCTAGTTCAACTTTTAAAGATCAACTTTGTTGAAAATCAATCAAATAAAAAATCATTAATTGTTCGTTTAATATTGTTAAGATTTAATTGTTCTAACTGCATATCTTTGATCTATATCATTAGATGACTAAATGAGTTTGGAATTGGTTGATTTCTACTAGAGTTTTCAAGGGTGACTTAGAAAATAACGGCATAACTCATCATGCAACATTGTAGAATAAGGAGAGCCAAATAAATAGAACGAGAAATTTCAAATGAGAAGGAAAAATCTTCAAAAATTTGTTAATCAATGACTTTCTTAGCAAAGCACTGTTACTGGACAATTCTCTATCTTAGAAAGCCCAATTTAAATTCAGTCAGGCCCAGTCCAGTTTAAACCCGACCCAAAACCAAGTTATAGTTATTTCTAGGGCTCCTCACATTAAAGCCCCTCAACTGCATTGCATCCCAAGTATTACTGCAGCCTCCTAAACTTGGAGAGATTAGCAGTACCAAGATACAAAGGGTACAAAAACCACAGTCAATCATATGTGCTCATCTTTGTCAACATAGTCAGGTCAAAAGTTTACATGCCTACAAGAACATGTACAAAATATGACAAGTTACGTTCCAAGAACTCCGATCTTTGATGCTCTAAAGAAGGATAACAATTTTACATGTATGGGATAAACCACCTAAAGGTTTTAGCAGGCAATCCATTACCCTATAATCAGTTGGGATACAACGAACCCCTCCAATAAAGAGAGAGATTTAAGCCCTGAAACCATATAACCTTCAATCCGGCGATGAAATGAATATAACATCTGTGTGGAGAGAAGCGCATGCTAATTTCTACAACAGATTGAAGTAGGAGCAAAGCATAGAATACAGACCTCAGCCGCGCATGCCAAATATCTCTTCCGGAGGATCATACACATGCTGTTCGGGAAACAGCTCCTCAAAGTCTTGCTTGACTCTGTTTCTCAAAAGGGGGTGTGGCAGAAGTCCCTTTAACAAAATCCGGAATGGCAGCTCCTCTGGTGGATCTGGAGACTGCTTCATGTCCTCATAAATGTTCATTGCATCTGTAGGACAACCAGAGTTCAAAAAACCCCTGATAACTTCTGTATATGTTTGAGAATCAGGAAACAGATCCTCCCTTTTCACGCTGTCCCACAGTAGCATAACATCCTCCATTTTCTTAGATCTTGCTAATGCAATAATTAAGTCCTTATACAGATAGACATCCGGTTTGTACCAGTCTTGCTTTCGAATAACATTAAATACCTGAAAATTCACCGAGTCGCTTGTAATTCCAATAAACAAAGACATACGTTCATTACATACGTAGTTAAACAGAAATAAAGATGTGCAGTCTAGAAGGAATTCATTCCAAATAATGGTCTAAATGTGCTCTGATAAACAAGTCTGCAAAACCACAGCAGGAAATAATAAATCCGCAATTCAAAATCAAACTAGTCTGGTTTCTCGTAGATTCAAATGGGAAATATGGCAGTGAGTGTTGATATGGTCGTCTTGACTCTCATGAATGAGATTTCAACATTTCACCATTACTAGCTACTTCAAATTCCAAAGAACTGTCCTCGCACCTATAACTACAAGTGAAAACCACGTCACTCCGATCACGAAAACCACGTCACTCCGATCACGCTTTACCATACACCATGAACCTGCACTACTAACAGGAATACCCAGAAACACTTACACTAAAGCTAAGCATTGCTTCTAATACTGTTAAACATATTGACAAAGCATTACTGAAGGTGCCCAAGATCACACATTGAGTCAGGCATTCAACCAAATACATAGCGTGCAACCCACGGAGCCCCATTTCGCAACGACTGTAAACTAACAACACATAGGTGGATTCGCACAGCACAACTTCAACACCCAAAGTACAAAAATTTCAGAACAACCCACAAGATCAAATGCAAAACATTCACAAAATTTAAACACAGAAATTCGGTACCTTAATTGCCAAAGCGACTTCTTCCTGGCGCTCGAGCTCAGTGAGAACAGCAATCATATCCGTCTTCAACAGTCTCAAAACGTGGGTATTTACAAACTTCCCGAGCTTCTCTTCCACGTCCTCGAACAGCTTCAAACCCGAGATTACGAAAAGCGCTTCTTTGCCGATCAGCTTTTTGCCCCTCCAGAGCGGTCCTCTGGGCCTCCCGTCGTGATACAGCCTCAGCCCACAAATGGGCCTCCAGGACTCGAGTGCTAGTTCTGTGGATTTTAGAAGCATTGGGTTTGATTTGATGGGCGTTGTTTTCAGGTTTTGGAGGAGTATTGAAGATAAAAATGCGAACTTCGATCGCGAAAATGCACGAGTCGCCATTGCCATTGGAGGTGTGATGAAGGGGACGAGTTGGTCAGTGAGATTGATGAACGGTGTTTGAGAAATGAGAATCTAACCCTCCTCCAAAATCGTGTCACGAGTCGTTTAACTAACTATGATTACTTAAACATTTAATTAAGAGCTTAATTGGATTAATAGTCTATGTGGTGACATGACCGTTGGAAGATAATTTTGCGGTAATAAAATAATATTTAAGCCCATGTGGTGGAGCTTGTTAGAATTAATGCCTAAAATTGAAAATTCCATCAATTTAACAGAAAAGAATAATAACTAACTGATTAATAGTAAAATTGTCATTTACTCAATATCCTATCAATTAAACAACAGTAACGGTAGGGAGACTTAATTTGTAAACAAAATTTGCAAACTAAATGA